GACCATAGGAGCCGTTTTTCTCCGTCTTTTAGGGCTTCGAAAGTTCAAAATTTGCGTTTTTCGGAGTTTTCGTTGCTGAGTAGCAAACTTAGATTTTGGGCGTTCTGAGCCGTTTTTGTAGTTGGTCTTTATGGAGCACTTTACGCCTGAAAGATTGGTACCGAGATCGAGGTTATCCGACTTTTGGTTCGGGAGTTATGATTTTTTGAGTGTTTTTTGTACTTAGAAAATTACGTATTTACGTGTTTTTTAGATTTTTTTTTTCGTTTGATCACTACAAAATTCTAGAACCTGATCATTCGGCGTACGAGGATTCAAAAAACCTCTATGGTCAAAATACGTACGACCATTATTTCGCCCGAAATCGTAGTAGCAAAAAGTTAGAAAACAAATTATGCTATTTTTCGTATTATCAAGGCATCTCCTTGTGGTATACGTCTGTGTAACGTATCAAGTAATAATTATTTTGAACTTTTTTTCACACTTATTTTAGTAGGCGTGTAGCTCATTATTCATTAATGTAAATCGATAGGTATATAAGAATAAAATATTAAAACCTATAAAATAATAGGTCAATTCACTCTAATATATGTATTTGAGCTAACAACACAAAATTGGATGTATATTTTGAACTACTAGCCTTCAAGGATCGAAGCAGACAACCCTCGAGATCAAATTTATTGTCTCAAAAAAGCCGCGACTCGATTTTAAGTTTGAGAAATTGGCAAAAGAAAATTTCCCGCCAATTTTATTTTTGAAAAAATCAAATTTTGAACTCAACACTCACCCCCTTAATATTTGAGTTTCAATACTTTTAAAAAGTGGGAACTGGTCTAGAGACGCTTCTGTTTCGATCCTAGAAGGTTTCATACAGATATGATTTTTATTGAAGGATTTAGGTTTTGTATAGGTTTTTAAAATTCGTAATATTTCGAAAACCTAAATCATTCAATATAAGTCTTATCGTTATGAAACCTTCGAGGATCGAAGCAGAAGCGTCTTTAGTCTAGTTCCCAGTTTTTAAAAGTTTTTTAAATCAAATATTAAGGGGGTGAGTGTTGAGTTCAAAATTTGATTTTTTCAAAGATAAAATTGGCGGGAAATTTTCTTTTGCCAATTTCTCAAACTTAAAATCGAGTCGCGGCTTTTTTGAGACAATAAATTTGATCTCGAAGTTTGACTGCTTCGATCCTCGAAGGTTTCATAACGATAAGACTTATTTTGAAGGAGCTAGTAGTTCAAAATATACATCCAATTTTGTGTTGTTAGATCAAATACATAATATATTAGAGTGAATTGACCTATTGGCTATTATTTTATAGGTTTTAATATTTTATTCTTATATACCTATCGATTTACATTAATGAATAATGAGCTACACGCCTACTAAAATAAGTGTGAAAAAAAGTTCAAAATAATTATTACTTGATACGTTACACAGACGTATACCACAAGGAGACGCCTATTGATATTACGAAAAATGGCATAATTTGTTTTCTAACTTTTTGCTACTACGATTTCGGGCGAAATAATGGTCGTACGTATTTTGACCATAGAGGTTTTTTGAATCTTCGTACGCCGAATGATCAGATTCTAGAATTTTGTAGTGATCAAACGAAAAAAAAAAATTTTAAAAACACGTAAATACGTAATTTTCTAAGTACAAAAAACACTCAAAAAATCATAACTCCCGAACCAAAAGTCGGATAACCTCGATCTCGGTACCCATCGATACAGCGCAAAGTCTTCTATAAGTATGTACCTTAATAACTTATGCATAAAATATATATAAAATGTAGGCAAGTAAATGCAATCTATAAGTTGTATACTCCATTATCTTCTATATTCTGATGAATTCACAATTGATATTGATATGTGTGTGTGTGTAAGCTTTTGAAACTGCATTTAAAATAAATAACTGTTAATATAAAATTGAGAGCATTACACCGTATTAAACATACTATTTTGGGCATTCAGCCATTCAGGTTTTAAATGTTTGAAAGTTTTTGTGAGTAGATTAAATCAAAACTGGATTAAGCAGGGGGGTCTATAGGTTATATTTGATAATTCCTGTAGAAAATTGTTCTGTGAAGAGAGCTTTTTCTAAATTAACTAGAATAAAAAATAAGTTTAAAAACAGTCAAACACAAGAAAGTTTAGACAATTTTATATTCTGAGAATTATGTGGTAAATTATTGGTAATTTATTTGTGGGTTATTCATCAATATTTAAATACCTTAGTGGAATTTTTATGCAATTTGCATATTGCATATTTTTAGAAATTAATCATTACCACTCATTCATCATACAACTACAAATCATTTACAGAATCATTACGTGCACATTGTTGCAGCTGCAGATGTCCACGATAACCAAATTAACATAAAACATAGTAATTACTGTCGAAATGTTGTCTATTAACGGTAAGTTATTTACATGGTAACCAAAATAATTTTTTTGGTTACCGTATTCACTTAACATAATAATTTTTGAATGGCCCACGCCGGAATTTTCCAGCAGGGCCTCATATCTATCAAACATCAACTAACGAAATGTCGAAATATAACTCGAAAATATAACTTTTCCACATTTCCAGTTGGAAATTTTCTGTATTTTGGTAACCTGTTTCCTGTGGTCGAACGAACGTTTTCCGCTGAAGTTGTTATTTCAAATTTTCAGGTTTTGAAAACCCATTCGCCCTAACTGTCACGGGTTATATTACGATTACTAAAATCAATTATAACAATGTAAATAACTAGTATACAAGAAAACTTTTACATACTGGGAAATGGTCTAGTGACCCTTCACCTTCGATCGTTGAAGGTTTCAAAAAAGATAATAATTTTTTTTAAAGGATGTGGTTTTTTCAAATTCGTGATCCATCGGGAAAACTTTGTAGTAATATTTATCTGTCTCTACTTTGTAATATTGTACTTCCTTGGAATGAATCACTTAAGTGTTGATTTTTTTTTTAAATTACACAATACTTAACATGTTATATGAAATAAACTTACAAATAACATGGCATTCGTAATATTTAATAATTTAGTTATTTAAGATAATAAATATAAAATTATTGTAGGACAATTAGCTAGGGATAATGGATGAAACAAATTTAAAACAAGCGATTTGCTATTTGAAAATGAGTTGTTTATTAAAATATAATATACATTTTATTAGTAATTTAAGGTGAAATATTGATATGGTACCGACCAGACAACAAACATAATAATAATAATATTTCTTTATTACAGAAATAAATTCCAATTACAGTTTTTTTTTTCATATAATATATTGTACACGTACATTAACAGTAAAATGAGTTATATATAACAATAATTTTAATAACAATGATAATAATAATAATAATAATAATAAAAATAACTTAAAATTTAAAGAGCAAATAGGTACCTAATTAATGTCATACAATAAATATTTAAATATTTAAATTTCTATAATAAAAAATACAATGAAATAAAAACGAGATATTAATTTTATTTCTAGTACCTATTTTGTTAGGTATTTCCTAGAACATTTGACATAAAAGTATTTAGAGAATTACCAAAAAAATCAATATTTTTTATAGAGTTGCCTGTGGACATTAAAATATTTGATGGAGAATTGCGCATATAGTTTGTAGCTGAATGTTTTATGTAGAATAAATTTACAGGTCGGTGGTTTATTGAATTTATTTTAAAATTTATATTTTGTAGTAATTCAAAAATGCAGATTCATCTCTAAAGTTTCGACATGTTCGTTTTAAAAAACCTAACTTTTTTGAAGCTTTATTTCTAATATAAAGTACATGGTCTTTAAAAGATAGTATGGAGTCAAATTTTACACCAAGATCGTGTACTGTAGAAACTTTTAATAAATTTATATTACCCAACGAATAATTTAACTGAATAGGTTGTCTTTTTAAAGAAAAAGTAATATGGAAACATTTTTTTAAATTTAAGTGCATAGCATTTTGCTGGCACCATTTATACATATTATTTAAATCTAATTGTAGTTCAATAGCGTCTTTTGTGCAACTAATATTTTTGAATATTTTTGCATCATCAGCTAATAATAATATTTTAGAATGAGAGATTACATCTGATATATCATTCATAAAAAGGCAAAATAATATTGGGGATAAATGGTCTCCTTGGGGGATACCGGAAGTAACGAGAATTTGTTCAGAGACATCATTTTTATATTTTACAATTTGGGTGCGTCCAGAGATGAAAGAATAAAACCAAGAAAGAAGTGATTCAGTGAATCCATACGTTTTCAATTTATTTATTAATAATTTATGATTAACCCTATCGAAGGCTTTTTCCATATCGGTATATATGACATCAGTTTGTGATTGCATTTCAAAAGAATCCAAAACATAACAAGTACAACACTTACTGATCCTATTAAAAAACAAAACAATCATATAAATAAATTTACAAGATTGAAATAAAATTATAAAATATATTTACTTGTGGATATGGTCCGATTATGCCTTGTACGTATCCATCATTGCGGTGTCCAGCCCTTCTCAAAAATCCTGTGAGGTCTTCATCTCTGTTGAGTTGTTGCACATAAACTGCTAACACAGTGGTAGTGTTCTCTCGTTCCCTCCATGATGCTCGATCTCTAATCTGAAATGTAATTATTATATATAATTAAGTTTATTTGTTGAAAAAATAACATATCTGTAACCAGCCCAAAAACCAATTTATATTCAAATAAAAATTAATAATCACCCTTAGGTTTCTTCTGGCTTGATCAAATTCAACGAAATACTGATTTTCAAGGACAGTCAGTTTTTCTGTAAGCAAATTAATTGATCAGTAAAAAATAGTACATTGTAATAGTTTATATTATAATATAAGTTACAGCAAGACACATACATACAATAAAAACACCATAACCATAAACAAACATTATTCAATTTGTAACTGTATGGTTAAGTATTCACAATTACAAATACCATGGTACCAATAATTTTAATATTTGTTTGTAACTGAATAATATATAGGTGCAATTTGCACTGTCAGCAACTAAAAAAACAATTTTCAGTATTCATTTGTAGTATGGATTGTTATTCATATTCATTTATTTTATGAAAGGATAAATAGTATTAAATTTAATAGATTTATAGTAATATAGACCTTTTCTGTATGGATATTTGTAGTACAAATGCTAATCTTGATAAATTAATTTTAATGCTTAGTAGTGTTAGTGGTAAGTTTGACGTAATAATATTAAGTGAGACCTGGATGTATATTGAATTTAATAAAATGATGGCGTCACAATTTTTATTGAAAATAATTTTAAGCTCATAAGTATTTCAAATAAAGTAATATCTTGCAATACAAATTGAATTAGATAAATTGAAAATTTCAGTAATAAGTATATACAGGTCACCACAAGATATTATTGATACCTTTATTTACAATTTGAATACATATTTAGAACAATTAAATAATAATAATATTCACTATGTCATAGCAGGAGACATTAATATTAATGATTCACTAAATTCTACTGATTATCTTAATGTAATGGCCAGACAATTTCATATGTATAAATAATACTACTCGAGAAACCACAAATTTTAACACATTTTTTTACAAAAAATATAAATGTAATTATTTGCAAGCATGAATTATGAATACTTAAATGTCAATCGCTGACCACTATGGCACAATACTAAGTTTTAATGCTCAACCAATAGACTTTAATCATAACAAACAAACTAAATTCGAAAATGTTGTTTACAAAATCAACATTAACTATTTAAATACAACTTATATATAAGAAAAGTGTTAATGTAATTAAAACAAATAGTAAAAAACATTTTGGATTAAGAAGTTGTAGTAATACTGCAACTGAGCTATGTATGTCATTAAATATTAATTTTTAATACTTATCAAAATATTTTTTGTTTTAAAAATGCTTTACTTAAAATCTTAATAACGACCAAGACATAAGGAGTATTAAGTATACATTGTTTTGTTTGAAATTTATAATTGTTATAATAGTGATAATACTGATAATAGTATATAGGTACTGTACATTTAAGATTTTAATAAGTGTTAACTTATAAATTTCAACATCAACTTAGAAAATTTTCTTAAATTTAGATTGAAATTAAAATTAAAAACAAAACAAATTTATTTTTTGTTATTCTAAATTAATAAATATTGAATACTAATATTACGGTAGTTATTAATAAAGAATAAAGATACAGCATAAAACTAAGTAGTTTTATACTGTACTGTATTATACGTTCCAACCCTGATAAATAAAGATTAAATACACTTATGTAAGTAATATGTACATTTTTTGTTGGTTCCTACTTGTTAATTTAAAATTCAATAAATGAATATAAGATTCACATACACTATTACCATATATGGCTAATTATATAATAGCTTATTAGTAAGGCTGATACTTAAAGACTTAAAGTACTTCTAAACCTGAAAATATTTATGCACTAAAAACAACAACAAATAATACGCATTTAAAATATGCTCTAAAAAAATGTATGACTTTTGGTACATACTTAAATTATACTATCAATATGAAAACAAAAATATAAAAAAAGATAGTTTGATTATTTACTTTATACAAACTTGAAATTACTAATTAAGTGTTGCAGTATTATTGACCAGATAATATACAGTTTTGCTGCCATTAACCTAGTACTGTTATATTTTTAAATATTACATTTTCTAAACGTATACATAATATTATGCTCTTAATTTGGCAAACACCAACATGAAACTCTTAACATAGACAAAATATGCAAAATACAATTTGTAGTGTAACTTACACTTACTTGTATTATGATTTATGAAACATATTTATATTTTATACATCACTCACGTTGATCTGCGATCTTTTAAGTTAAATATGAAAAACTAGAAGTCCTCAGCCCTACTTATCAGTTATAACTTAAAAACTTTAAACAAACAAATATATTTACCTAGATGGAGGATTTTGAACTGTAAGAGTGTAAATGGCATTTGGTGCTTCATTCAGTGCCACTGCAAGTTGTCCAATATCAAGGGGTTGCGCTGGGAATCTTCGACGTCTCATCTTTTTCACTCGTTCTTGAGCCTGAATAAATGTGTAGTTAGGAGCTGCTTCTGGATGGCTAACAAAACCAAAAAATCAGTTAATAAATAATTTTGCATTGTTTATTATTAATTATGGGTAGTAGGTACCTATAGTTAACTGAACTACCTAATACTAACCTTATTACTAACAAGTAGTAAATAATAATTTAGTATATATAGATAACTTTGAATACGACTCACTTGATAATTTTGTTGTTGTACAAAGTTCTCATAAATTATGTTGTAACTGCTGGATCAATTCCTCTTTCACCTATGGTTTCCCTCAAAAACGGCACATTCAGGTCGATCACTCTGGGCGGATGGTCGTGGTAGAACCGTAGACGAATTCTGTTGTCGTTCAAATTTGCACTAACAGTTGCAGTGGAAGGGCAGTACTGGTTCTGTTGCTTCTGCCGTTCGCATACTAAATACCTATAAAATATAAAAACATTATTTATGATTAGCCATAATTTTATTATCATTACCCAAATAGGTAGGTAATTATATTGGATAAACTATTAAACATACACGCGTTGTCCTTTAGTTTCTCGTTTGTAATACTTGAATCCCAAGTTGTCAACATATATCCTCGATCGGTTATGAACCCCAGGAATCAATCTGTATGTTTCCGACACTCTGACAATTGGTTCCTCTTCCTCTTCTTCGTCCAATTCTTCTACTTCTTCGTCTTCTACCAATTCCTCTACTTCTTCTTCACGCAGTATATGATCATCTTCATATACAACTGGCAGGAAGTAGTCATGGTCAACCAAATGATCTGGGAGAGCAAATACTTCCTCGTTGTCCATTATTATTAATATATAACTAGAATCAGAACACCAAAAATACAAAAAAAAAAAAAAAAGAGTAGTTATATTTATAGTAGGTAAGAAATTTAAAACGAAATTAATAAGTAACAACAAAAACGTTTTAACAATAAAGTGCGAAAGCACGAGCTGGGTTTTTGGTATGAACTATGTTCAAAGTTTTAGTATGAACTATGTTCAAAGTTTTAAATACTTAGGTAAATCGCAAGTGAATCGCAGGTGTATCGCAGGCAAATTGCAGATAGACAGATCTATATAAAAAATTGAAAATTTTATCAATATCACAGATATCATAAAATATTTAATTAATATAATAATTTTTTTGGTTACATTTACATAATATTACATTCGTTATATGAACGATTTATAACATAATACATAAATAAGTATTCACTTAACATAATATCATACTGAAGTTGTTTCAGTTCAAAACATACATAATTTAGGTAATCAACATAAGATTAATTACTAATATTATTTTTGATGTTTTCCACAATAAATTAATTAGGTATGCATAAGTTTAAAGTTTTTTGATACAACATCAAAAAATAGGCAATATTGTAGATCCTCCAGGCCAAAAAATGAATTCCTATCATCGCCATCATTAAATATTTATCTCAAAATATATTGAACTGAGGAGTTCCCACATAGTAAAGTTAAAAATAGTGAACAGAAACTCAACTTTTCCAAACAAGACTGTACAGTTTGTTAACACACAAACACCTTTATTTTTATTTTTATTTTCTTGTACAACACTACCTCTACCAATTAAGGTCTATTCAAAATTTGTAAACATATTATTTAAAAAAAGTAAAAAGTGGCTTAGGTTTATCTGTTTTTTATTCTGGTATTAGTATAAATATAAACTTTTTGTTAATTCACATACCCATATCTTGCTTCAAAATGAAAATTTCGAAAAATCAGCAACGCTTAAGCACAAATAATGTTCTTACCTAAAAGTTGTATAAAGGTACGCACACATTGCTGCGGTAGACGGTACGGTAACGATACGGTAACGGTAGCGATAAAATTGAGCTCATAGTTTTATATGAGGCAAACCACATTGGTACGATATTATCGGATCGGTGAACGGTAGGCGCGCCGATAATCTTTGTGCGGTAAAGTTTAAAACTAAACGAATGTAATTAAATGTAGATGCGCACATTGCTGCGATAAATCGCCGGTACGGTAAAAAATATCGTATCGTGCTCCGATATTTTTTTAACGTTGCATGCACGATAATTACCGTCTACCGGGCTGATAAATATTAATAGCAATAATGTTTATCTATTTTGTAATAATTATGACATAGTGACATACATAATATGAAGCTGTTTAGCTGTTTAGTTGTACAACTATATTACCATTATGGCATTAAGTGCTATATGTTATACGCACTACCTTAAGGTACCTAATATAATTATATTATCAAGTATTAAAAGTACAGTAGGTATATCATAATAATTAATATTAATAACAAGTTTTTTATCAAATATACTCCTATACTCCCATTCTGCAAATGTGGGCAAAAATTACCTTTAGTTAGTTAAGTTAAGTCAAGTCAACATTTAGAAAGCTATAATTTAAGATTTAATAAACATTATACTTCACTCTTAAGTTTAAAGTTAACACCAGAAAAAATATGAACTTAACTCAGTTATATAATTACTTTTTAATTTAGCTTTAAGTAAAAGCATTTTGATTAACGTATAGTACGTATATTATTAATTTATTATAATTTTTTGATATAGAGTTTCTTTACAATTAATAATAAGAAAATTAAGACATTAGGTACCTATACAGTATACATATTATATTAAGACTTGTATTATAGGCTCATTTACAGAGAAATTATCGTCTTGTGGGAAGGGAAGGGTTTGTAACAAAAATATTCATATTAATTTTACATAGCTGTCGGAAAAAAAATATTTTTGAAAATAAATTGAGAGGGTATAAACCTCAAAATTTCTTATATGTGTGTCAGATATATCGTACCGCATTACCGCAGCAGTATGTGCTAGTTGTAACGAAAAACGTTCCGGTACGATATTTTACCGTCCGGTAACTCATATCGTTACCGGATCAGTGTGCAAGCTCCGAGTGCTCCGACGGTAAAGATTACCGCACAAATAAAATATTGATTACCGTATCGTTACCGTACCGTCTACCGCAGCAGTGTGTGCGCAGTGCACACCTTAATAGTATAGTTGTATGTCGTGCGTGTGTAAGACGGAGATAGCAAAATATGTATGTGTAGCGTCCTCTTAATAAAATTGCAGTAATGCAGTGTCTTGGAGATGTCAGTGTTGTAAATCGTATATGACAACGCTATCTAGCTAGGAAATTAAGCAGCTGCGAGGGCCCGGTTCTTCAAGTGTTAAAAATTATACAGCGGCGTTAGATGGCGCTGCCGTTATCGAAATTATTTAAATCTAAATAATAATACCAGACAATGCCTTAAGCAGCGGTAGGTTAGATTAAACCTCACTAAACCTCACTAAACCTAACTAAACCTCACTAAACCTAACGAAACCCAACTAGACTTTCGGCACTGGTGTACTACCGACGAACAACGCCGTGCATAGGCCCATCTATATAATTCAGAACCCCCTTTTCTCTTCTACAATATATTGATAATAAGTGTTTTTATTCTTATAATTCTTTTATATATTTTGAGCTGTTTACGGACATTTTCAGTTTCCAATGTTTTAAGTTTTTTTATTCTATAAATATCAATAAAATGTTATTTGTTGGTCAAAAAAGCTTGAAAATTTAATAGAAGGCTCCCAGTATACTTTTTCAAAGGCAGATGAAAAATATTAAAAATCCTTAGTCACAATTTTTTTTTATAAGCATTTAAAGTTCAAAAAATGACAAAATATGGAAAAATCACGAAAATTAGCAAATTATTTTGAGTTAGGAATTCGTAAAAATTTTTCTTTTTAAATCTAAGATTTGAAAATGTAATACAAGATTACTCATAAGTTTGTCTACCTTAATCAATAAAAAAATCTCTACCGGAAAGTCAAATTAAATTTTTATGAGCGTTTGAAATTCAAATTTTTACAACATTGGATATTCACTGGATTTCTCATGTAGCGATTTCCTTATTTTGTTGTAATTCAAAAACGAATAACTGTAGGTACATGAAAATTTCACCCGCCGGGTACCGATGACCTCCCGGACCTCCTGTGCGGGCCTGACTTCCATCTCCTGCCCGAGCGCGCAGAGGAGAAGTCCAGCCTACTCCTCAACGCCGCCAAGGATTCAGGCTGTTCTACAAGATGACCGAGGGCATCCTGTCACTGAAAGAAGAGGAAGAACGAGCAAGGCAAGCTCCTGTCCAGGCCGTCTAGAACACCGAGCAGTCCGTTGCCGCCCACCCGATATCTCCGCCCCCTTTTGGGCTAGGATGTTCGGGTTTGCGGGTCCACGTCCAGGGGCCCAAAAGCCGGATGGGTGGCTTTGGAGGGGGCAAAATTTTCGCTCCCGAAGCCGTCAGATGAAAACCGGCCGAGCTAGAACCAAAAAACCGGTAAAAAAACGCAGTCTCAACAAAGTGTCAATCGAATGTACGAATTGGCAGCCCGGAACGAGAGCACGCGCTCCCAATCTGGCAGTTAGTCATTAGTCATTACCGATGGGAGCAGACCACAGCAGCATCCGCGGGTTCCAGCCAAGCAGAGCCCGGAAAACTGACACGCAGCCAAGCAGAGGCGAACGTCGCAAGTGGCAACCTAAAACCGCAAGTCGACGGTTTACCGTCTATTTTTCTATTGTATTCCTATGCTTATGATTTAACCGGGAAAAAAAAAAAAAAAAAAAAAAAAAGGAACATGAAAATTTCACTGAATGTTCATATTAGCATTTCCTATACACTGTACAATTTTGAAAAAATTTGACTCTTTTTGAGCTGTTTACGGACATTTTCAGTTTTCAATTTTTTTAGTTTTTTTTTTTCTATAAATATCAATAAAGTTTTATCTGTTCGGCCAAAAAGTGGAAAAATGTAATACAAGGCTCCTGATATATCGTTACAAAAGCAATCGAAAAATATTAAAAATACAGAAGCACAATTTTTTTTATAAGCATTTAAAGATCGAATTTTGACAAAATGTATCAAAATCTCGAAAATTATCAATCATTGTAATTAATAAATTATAAAATGTTCAGTTTTTTTAGCTAAGGATTTCAAATTTAAAACAAAGGTTCTCATAAATAGTTCATACTGTACACAAAATATCTAAAAAATATATGAACACAGTTATTTTTTACAGACATTTTAAATTCAAATTTGGACGAAATTATAAATATTAAAATCAATATTAACGATCTTGGTTTTTTTGTTGTAATTTAAAAATATTATTCGGGAATATATGAAACTGAAAAATCAAAATATTATGGCCTATCCATACAATCTACCATAGTATAAGGAGTAAGAAGTATGCTCAATGATAAGACTGTGCATATTTTAAACTTTTAAAGGACAATGAATAATTTATTCATAAATTCCATATAATTTAATAACATAGGTAAGTATAATATAATATGTCTTATACATAGACTGACATACCGTCTCCGCTCAGAATCGTTTTTTCTTATACAGTGATATTATATCATTGAATTCAAATTTAATACCATCCATTATACAGTGACCCACTTGTAACCTACAGTACAGCAGAGCGACATCCACCTGCCCACCTTTTTTATGTATTATAATATAATATGTATTTACGTGGGTAAACATGTTTTTTTTCGATTTTACAAATTATAGTTACTGGTTTTTTTAAATTTTAATAATATTACTTTACTGTATGAATATTTTTACTACTAAATTTTTATACCATTATATTATTATGTCATGTACCTTCATCGTTGTATTTTTACCTAATTAATTGTTTATTTAAAAAAAAGTATAATGTCATGTACATAATTGTAATTTAACTATTGCATTTCTTACTAATTACATGTCTGTATATAAA